TAGAGAGCCTGTACGTGGAATCGAACGAATGGTCGCTCCACCTACAGAGATGTAACATGTCTTTTAAACATTATTTTAATGTAAATGCAGACAAGGATCACCCATTACATACCACAATTAATACATGTCAAGCCTTGCTGTGTTTGAAAAACGGCCTTCCATGAGACAGCCCTACTCACTCTGTGAGGGGCCTATCGAAGGAAACCAGTGTGCCACTCGAACACTGTCTCATGGCTTCCGTGGTATGCCTGCCACCGTGGCAGTGGCAGGCGATAGATTGCGACGAGTCTTTCTTAGAAATTACGAAGCATGCACCAATTGCACACATCCAGACATACTTTCTTGAACTACAACATAAATACACATGTCCCGAGTTCTTTACGGATGCTTCAAAATCTAACACTTATGTCTCGTATGCAGCCGTCGGCCTATCCTTTTTGGAAGCCGGCGTTCTGCACACGGATACAAGCATTTTCACCGGCAAAGCCTATGCGATACTTGCGGCTGTTAAACATATTAAACAAATAAAACTACAGAAGGCAATAATATATACAGATTCCCTAAGTGTAGTAAAGGCTCTGAAAACACCTAAAAAGCACAAAAACCTTGTCTTTGTGTCGCTTTATTCGCTTTTATGCACAGTGTACTCATCCAAGCAGCGTGTTGTAGTCTGCTGGGTGCCAGGACACCGCAAAATAGAAGGCAATGTTTTGGTGGACCAGCTAGCTGGATCCGCCAACAAAACCGCTATCAACACTTTGATACCAATTCCTGCACTCAACTTGAAAGCTGTTCTAAAACGAAAGATCAGGGGTTACTGGCAGAGCACATGGGACAAACACACAGGAAATAAATTGCATGTCGTCAAGCCGCAGCTTGGTCATTGGCCGCCAGTACCAAAATCACGCCACCCTGAAGTAATCCTTACAAGACTAAGAACAGGGCATACATACACTACACATTAATTTCTTTTGTCTGGGGGCGATTCACCTATGTGTGACAGATGTGGAGAAGCACTCACCATACTTCACATTCTAATACAGTGCAAAAAATTACAAGCTAAGAAGACAACTTTCCATTACCCTACCGGCAACAGATACTACTACATCCTGCAATGTTTGTTGGTAGGGAACTACTTTTGACACGTAAATCATTGTTAGCTTTTTTAAAAGATGTTCGTATGTTTCATATCATATACCCGGGCATTCCGTAGCACGACGTCCAGAGAGGTCTCCGCTGTGGTGGCTACACTCAATAAAGCACTTGCCTCACGGCCCTTGGGCCCCGCCGCGGTGGTCTAGTGGCTAAGGCACTCGGCTGCTGACCTGCAGGGCGCGGGTTCGAATCCCGGCTGCGGCGGCTGCATGTCCGATGGAGGCAGAAATGTTGTAGGCCCGTGTGCTCAGATTTGGGTGCACGTTAAAGAACCCCAGGTGGTCTAAATTTCCGGAGCACTCCACTGCGGCGTCTCTCATAATCATATAGTGGTTTTCGGACGTTAAACCCCACATATCAATCAAATCACGGCCCTTGGACGCAAGGGTGTGATCGATTGAGGCACTAGTGGTTATGCCACACGTGCCCACCATGGTTTTTATTATCACAAACTTTTGTGATTCATTAACACCACACACTTTTCATGGCATGCTCATGATTTTATTATTTCTATGTTTTTACCCGCCTTAGGGCGAGGAATTTTAAGGCCCTTATACAGCCGCTAATCACTATCATTGTTCACATCTCTTGCCTCATGAACTGCCGCTCTTTGGTCACCAAATGGCCCTTGTGCCACAAAACACCAAACATCATCGTCATCATTTTCTGGTAACCATTGGCAAAGAATGAAGAAAATGTGGCGACTACCCAAAACCGCGTCAATATGACTTATCGCCGACAAAAAAGCCTACATGTGTGGCATAGCGCTGCTTTAAGCCTACTGCACGCTTTTAATACCTGGCGACTACCTGAGAGTGCTGAGGCGCCGATCCCTACTGGCTCAATCGTTGTGCGGGACCGTGTTCAGCCTGCACCACTTTGCGAAAACGGAAGCAGCTCGCTGTTGCGGAATTTAGCATTGTGGGTAGCGCAGCACAGAGACAGCAAGCGTAGCACACGCTTTTATAAGGGGACAGCCCGAATCCGCCTCTTTTCGTTGCCAGGACCACTGAAGCATTGCTTGCAGAAAGCCCACATAGTCACATTAACGCAACAGTCTTCTCGCTGCATCTGTGCGTGGTCTGAAGGGGAGTGGGCGCTAGTTAGTACAGTCGAAACACGCAATAACGAGACCCTGGGAGTACGAAATCCCCGCGGCAAGGAAATATTTCCGGATCCCCGGTGAACGTTCACAGAAGCCCATGTATTACGTATCTCGTGGCAACGAAATATTTTTGGACAGCGACCCCGCATGAACGAATTTTCTGCCACGGTGCGGGCCTTATTTTTACCTTCCCGCCAAAAATAAACTGTCAAAAATATGCTCGTATGCGTGCTATGCACACTGAAAATTTGTAAACGTCTGTTTTCGTCGTGCTAGCGTGGGTACCGCTATTTTTGTTTACTTAAATTGGCGATGGGGGTCTGTGTCCGGCAACATGCCTGGCCTCACTGCAGCAGGCGATGGCAAATGATCATGCTGGAGTGCAGATGGCACTGTCGGACGAGCTCAACAGGCCGAAGCAACACCAACAGTTGGAATTATTCAAAACGACAAAAAAAAAAAGACTGGAACTGGTGGCGACATCGAGATGAAGTTACAATGGCGCCTGAAAAATGCTTGACGCTCGAAGTGGATTCTCCGTTGATCGCGGAAAAAGAACTTCGAGCCATCGACATTCCGTATGAACTCGCCGTTGATGCGTACGTAGTCGTGTACGTAGATGACGACGTAGTTGTGTACAAGGAAGCGACCGACGAGGCCATTATCGAAAGCGTGCGCAAAGCTGACGACACCGAGGACTAAGAAGAGACACACGCGGAGAAACCCGCGGGTTGGGTTTCTCCGCGTTCTTCGGCGCACATGACGACGACGTAGAAATGGACCACTTTTTCTAGTGCGAAGGGAGAGCTTTGAAGTTTTGCATGACAAGGGTCAGCAAAGTAAGTTGACCGACTTCTGGCAATAAATTTTCGTTCTGGCCGTATCACTGTTTTATGTCTCATACTCACGGCAACAAAATTCTCGCAGAAAGGAAATTTTTTGGTTTCCCCAGCGATTTCGTTATTGCGGGTTTCGACTGTAGCTTACAAGGGGTGTGTGAAGTAGACCAAGCGCTGCACGCAACTCGCCAGTAGACAATTGGCTCCCTTAGAGCATACCGTGTTTAAAAAAAGCTTTTTCAGTTTTCGCAAAATAGCAGGTCACGGTACACGTTTATCGCGGACAGCCGATTTTGTCCGTTCCGTCATTATGTCAGTTGCTGTGTTCACTGTACCCTGCACTTTGCAGTAGTTTTGAAATGCTCTTTGGTGTCGCCACTGCGTGCCATTGGACGGTCGTGCGAGAATTCCAATCATTTCTGAACATTAGCAAAAAGAAGCAAAAAGAAAGAAATGGCTTCATGGTAGGCACATTAGGCAATATTTGCTGTGGCACTTTATTTATTCCTTCTTTAGAGGTGGTGGCGCACGGAAAGAAATGCGAATTGGTATTTAGTCTTAGGCTTGCGTAAGGGGGAGAGGGGGACAGTAGGGGTGAGAGGGGGAGGCACTTATAGGGAGGGGGGCCCTGCAACGAACCTTTGCCCCCCTCCCATAAAGGGGAACCGTGCACACACTTATATATGTACTTGGTGGTTAATGCATATTACGTTTAATTCTTAGTTAGGCACATTCCGGGCAGGTTCTCGGCGGGTATGTACGTATTACTAGGTTTTATGGTTATAAGCTTTAAATATGTATGTGTATGTGTGTTTGTATGTGTGTTTGTGTGTATGTGCACTGCTATGAGCCTATGCTGCAGCTAGCGTCTTGCTGCAATATTCTTCACTGTCTTTTGTCACTGCTTCTGTATATAATCCTACTTTTGTTTATTTTTTGTGCTTATTTTGGGGGGCGTGGTGTTTTTGTATAAATTAATATGTAAATTGAGGAGACAATAAACTTAATTAAATCTATCTTTTGTTGCTCTATGTGTTACGGAAAGTCCGTGCATGCTCCTAGTGCAGAGGTGGCTGCTCCAAATGCAGATTTTGCCTGCTCCAAAATGCTGGAAGGCATTCCCACAATTGCATTACCTTTATCGGGCTGATTCTTAGTAATATGATGCGGTTACTTGCAGCAGTTGCATGTTCTAGTTGTTGTAGTGAAAGTTTTATGCCCCATTTGGATCCGATAATGCTGCAGATTGCTACTATAATCCGATAGCGCTGCAGATTGCTACTATAATTATCTTTCGTACACCTTAACATTTCTAGATAGTTTAACTAATAAAGTGAATGCATCAGGTGGTTTTTTTCATGCTACGTTGCTTGTTTAATGGCTATTGGATGGACTAGGCTTCGCCACTTTGTTTTAAGGAAACACCAATGATATGTTGCATAACACAGCTCTTATTGCTCCAGTTGGTGGCCTAATAACACACAGTCCTGCAGGACATATCATTGTAGCGGTTTATTAAAGATTTTTTTCGATATATAAGTTGTATTTTAGATTGTCGCTCTTTTGGGAAACGTCCTTTAAATATTGCTTCAGCGGTCGATTTGCTAAGACCTACGAAAGCTTTGGTTCTAATTAGCCAATGCATCTTCTTAAGTTTATCAAAACACAAAACCAATCATTTAAGAAAGTGTTGTTCTATTTTCGGGCAGTTGTTCCATTTAAGTGATTTTGGTTGGCTTAGATTCTACAGTAGTTCTTGCATATTCTGGCATGAACATTTGGATAACTATTTCCCACTGCATAGAGGACTTCCATTGAGAAGTAAGGGCCACAGAATTTTGTGGGAACACTTGCTGCAGTGTTATGAACTACAATATGCGCTGTTTTTTTTTTCTTCTCAGATGGTACCTGATGTGACCAGAGAAGCCATATCTAGAGTCAGGAACTGCGTCTTGGCTCTTGCACGGCACCATGTTCTCTTGTTTGACACCAGCATTGTGTATGCTTATGACATCTCGTTAGAACACAAGGTTAGAGATGGCTTCACATCTTGCATTGTGCATTTGTTTTGCCTGTTTCGTGTATCGTTAACTCAATTGCCACCATAGCACATCATCCTTGGACTCCATTTTGATGTTCTCAGTGGCTCTGATTACCTAGTATTCGGTCACCAAGCGATAGTCACATCATGCGGTCCTTCCGAGTCTGGTCACTATTGCATGTTCAGTGTGAATTTAGTCAATTAAAAATTTAACATTTACTAGTTTTGCAGTATTATTTCAGTTTACCACAAGTTCATGCAGGTCAACTAGCTGCACAGCAAGTCATCATCTAAATTTCTGCGGTGCTTTATCTTTTCTACCATGCAGTTTTTGCATCTTGCATGCTTTCTTGGACTTTGAGACATGTTTATTACCCTCTCCTTTTCCAGGTAAATGCCCTTTTGAAACCTGAGGTGATACTAGAAGTTGCTAACTTGACACAACAGAAGCTGCATCAGGAGGCATAGAAGTGGAAAAAAAAAACGAAATTATAGCAACATCTTGCTGGTTTTAACATGACTCATCTTGCCCCAATTAAATACCATATATCACCATCTCTGACCTCTATTGCCAATGGCCATGCAGACGAAATGTCATGTGCTTCTCTGCAGCAAGACACCTGCTGGCTTCATTCTGCAGTGCTGCAGTAAGTGTGGCTAGTACATTTACCTATAATGAAGTGCAGCATACATGCATATCGCATACACACAGTTACAGAATAGAACAGGATTCTTTCAAAAAGGAAATTATGATTACGTTAGTGTGCACTTGTTAGCATATAAGTATTGTATGCTTTCTGTAGTTCAACATCAATCTGGCCTTTATTGGCGATAGATTATCACATGCCGGATATTAGATGCGAAGCTGCTCTTTGACTAGCCTGTGTAATGCTGTTCGTTCGTGTCTTCGTGCCAATGCGCCACAGGTGTTGGCGCAGTGCCAAGTATGTCACGCCTTCCCTCGCAGTGCACAGTGACGTCACTTTCTCCCTCACCTGCTGCACGCTCGCAACGTTCAAGCGTACATCGAGTAAACACTCTTTCGTCTGGTTTATCTGGGATGGAGCGGACGCCGAAAAGTGCAGCTCCTTCGCCCATCAAAACATGTGCCCAAACGATTTGGCCTAACTCGACCGCTGCCAGCATTGGGAGGTTTGGCAGAAACTATCGCGTTCACAAATGGCCACTTCACGGCTGCAACACCAACGAGGCGCGAGCCAGGGAACCAGAACGCAAGGGTTGGCAGTGAAAGACCAACACCGACGAGGTGCGAGTCAGGCACGTCGATCGCGTTTAAGAATGGCAACAGCGCGTGGGTAACACCGGCGAGACGCAAGCCAAGGAAGCCGAACAAAAGTTCCAACATCGGAAGGCCAACGCCGGTGAATCCTCATTGTCAGCAACTATCAGCACCATCTCGAAAACGCTGCGAGAGCCCTCTGCTGAAGCGCCTGCCCGAAAGCTCCGAGCTTCGCCGGGCGATCCAGAGGCGCCTCGCGGCCGCAACGCTGCTCGCGTCTGTGCATGACGAGAGCTGCCCATGACGACGCCCGCTTCCAACAAGAGTTCCTCCACCGCAGCTGTGGTCACAGTTCCCACGCGTGAGACTATGGTTAGACAGTCACCTGGCCGACGTCGGTTCCATCCGCAAGCAGCTGGAGGTGCCGACCGAAGGGATTTGACGAGAGTTCGACAAGAGCCGACCCGTCCGGCTTCGTGGTCTATGCCACTTGCAAGAAGTCACTGATATCGGGCAAGGTTTCAAAGATGAGCATCACGCTCAGTTACCGTTACCCGTCTCACCCATCGGAACTTCTCAAGCTGAACCGTTTTTCCAGCACCCACGTCGACGCCCGTTTCAACGAAGGCGATGCCGTACGCACTGCTGCTGCTTCGCATTTCATCAGGGTTGCCTTTGGAAAGATGGTCCATAAATTTTGTATTCAAGTTGGCTCAGCAGTTTTAAATTGAATGCAGTTAATGTAAACTTTTTTTTTAATTGGGAGCACCACAGCGGTGCTCAAAGTTATTGTATCTGAGAAAACACCACTTCAGCCTTGCTGTATGAAAGTGCAACATCTTTCTCCAGAGCGTACTGTTGTATTTGCTACACAATGCAATGGTGGGTTAAGACACGCCCACATGCTTGACTGCCACTGAAAATTTATTGCAACTTTTTTTTTGTTACTGAATGCTGAACTCTCTTTAGTTGGAGTTGGATGCCAAATTGTTGATTATGTGCCATGTTTATTTCATTCTGTGGACTCTAGGTACAAGCACACTGGCGAACAAAAGGGGCACTGGTGTAGATGAAAGTTATTGATACATATGATGAATCTAATAGTGATTTGTTATTGTAAAATTGGAGAGTTTTACTGGATGTATACCTTTATACTACTTGTAGCAACCATTCATTGTTAGTTTCATTAGTTGAAGTGTCTAACATGGCAAATTTGTTTAAACCTTGCAGCTCTCTTTAATATGTTTTGGATTATAAACTCAATGTATAAGAGGGAGGGGGTACCCAAGAGTAGACGAAGGAGCATGTGTTCGGCGGGAGGAGGGGGCTAGTTGATATAGAACTTTGTTTTGTGGATTTTAACTGTGCTTTGGACGAGACACCAAAGTAGAAGTAGATTGCATGAATGCAGACTAACAACTGTATAATTGAAATCACACAAACTTGCTCTCTCGAACATCATGCATCTGCAGTAACAATCATGACCACGTGGCAATAGTACACTCCTCAATCAAGGCCCCTATCGACAAAATAAAATTATTGGTAGGACGAGGGTGTCAGGGTAAGCAAAGGGCAAATGGGCACAAAATCCTGGGAGCCTCATAGATAGCTAGACGTGGACCAAATAAATAAGTTATCAGAAAAAGATCTGTGTAACTCTTCAAGGAATGCCTTGATTTTCTTAGGGAGATAGGGAACTTGATGGGAGAATGTACAGTAGACTCTCAACAAATGAAACTTGAAGAGACTATGAAAATATGTTCCATTTTACATGAGTTCTTTTTACTGAAAGATGAATAGGGCTGTCAAGTTCCAATAGGAAACCAATTGTGTTAAAGGCAGTTGTTCCATTTAATATTTCTTTTTTATTATTTAAATAGAAAATGAATTAAGGAGTAGTTGTTGTCATTATTGGCGATAGTTACTCCTTTTCACTTGATTGTTACAAGTAAAGAATTTAAGATTTCCATTTGCTGAGACGCTACTGTACTATCGTCACAGTCGTTACTTTTATTGCACACACGCATTGTTTGAAGAGATAAATTTGTGCAGATTCAATGAATTGGTTGTCCTATTAAATTATGCTCTGCTCTTGTACCAAGAGCAGTTTAGGTCACAAAAGTAACCAGACTGGGGCTTTGTTGGGCAAAGCTACGATAGTACGAAATTCTCCTGTTAGGTGAGCATCCCGCCACACCTTTCAAGTTTATTGCATCTCGTGGATCATCCCGGGAACATTTTTTCTGGGTATAGCGACTATTTTTTTACGAAACCAGTTTTATGGGCTCAGTGTTTCTGTTGTGGTCGTTTTAAATGAACTGAGTGCATATGCAAAATTTGGTTTTGGGGGTCTAACAGCATTATGACTGGTCACAAGTTACAACCTTAGAGGAAAGGTCTGGGTCGCTTAGGAGTTATTCCTTCACAGCACGGCCTCTTTTTCCTCGCCCATCTCTTTGCTCCTTGGTCGAAATTTGAGCATAAATTTTCTGAGGACCCTTCTCTTTTCTTGTTCTGTTAAAATTTTCTTAACTAAACTCCGCATGCAGGTAAGCTCGCTACTCTCTTTCGAGGTGATTTCAAAATCATTCAGCCAAGAAGGATGAACTCTCACGTTCACCACATTTTATCTTCAGTACAACTTGAAGCATGCATTGGTATCATGAAGGATTTGTATATACAAAAGGAAGGTTAATACCCACTGGCCTTTCTCACACGTGAGCAGAAAAAATATGAATATTTACCAGCTATTTTATGTAGTTCTTTTTAGATTTGTTACCCTGAAATCTTACAATAAGATATTGTAAATAAAGCTGAAGTTATGGAGTTGAGCACCTAAGGTGGTGAAAAAAAAAATAATTGAACAGCAAATGTCACTGGTTACTAACACCAGGACTTTTCTTTGTCAGGGCAGCAACTGGCTTCCCTGACTGGTTGTTTAGGTGCGTTTTGCTCATTCACCCCCAAACTCAATGGTAAAGGCGAAAGAGAGAAAGAGGTATTATCATTTCTTTTAATGGTTCACCGCGGCTGGAGCCCTTCTTCCAAGGCTTCACTTGCTATAGAGGCTCGGTGGGCCTGACCCAGGGTCGCCAGTTGGCTTCCCAGGATCCATTTAGTGAGTGTCACCTCCCACGACCATGTTTGCATTGGGTGCGTATGTCCCATGTCAACTGTAACTGGTCATTCTGGACAGCAGTAGGTTATGTGTGTTAGTGTTGTTTCTGCATCAGGGACATGCGTTGGGATATCTTTATGGGTATGTGACGTGAAGCTTATTCAGGTTAAGAAATGTATTGGTCTACAGACGGCGCCAGTACCATGCTTGATGTCTGCCGGGGTCTGTGGAAGGAGGCACCCTGATGTGGTGATCTAATCTTTGTCTAGGATTCCATGCCGTGTCACCCCTTCATCTGTATCCTCTTCAGTGGCGGGTAGTCGTGAGACTCGGCCGCTAAGTACTCAAGCTTTGCAATGAACTTGTTCATTGCCAACCTATTTCATATGGGCTGGAGTAGGAAAAAGGGGAGAATGATACTAGCTGGGCACTCTAAGATGATATACTGCACCTTGTGTTCTGAATGGTGGCAGCTAGTGTGGTTCTTCAAAGGCTGCCTTCAAGTATCTTCTGGTGACATCAATTTCCAACCTAGTCCTTGGCACCACTAGCAAGAGTAGTCTAAGGTGTTGCGGCAAACCACAAAATTTGTGTCGTCGAGTTTGCCCCGGTCTATTAAAGAGAAAGCATATGTCAGTGTGCAAAGGAGGGAAACAGAAGAAATGGGAGCAGGGGACAATCAAGATGGCTTGTCATGCCAAATGGGTGTTTCATGTTATATAGTGAGGCAGCGAGGCAGATATAAAAAAAAAGAATGAGGAGGAAATTTTTTTACTCCGTTTTCTTTTTGATGTTTCTGGATTATCTTTATGCTTTCAAATACCCTGTATTACCATAACCCAACGTTACTAGATTAGGTAATATTGATATTACCTCCATTCTGTATCCACACTCTGAAAGTACCGATGACAAAAATGGCCAAGGAGTTACGTTGATCTTTGATAGCAGTGCCCAACCTTTCTGCTGGCATAAGGAAGATGACGATGATTCCTACAGGTTGCATCTTGGCCACAACAGAACAGTTAAAAACTAATGCTTTTATGTGTGCTTTGAAAGTGTGACAGTGGCATGTTCAATATTTACCAGAGTATAGGCACTCCTGCAGCTGAGTGAGTTGTAACAAAGCTATTTCTTAGGGCAGGACGAGTTAAAACTACAAACGCTTTAACGTTAATATTCAGGCCCCGCCCCGGTGGT